TTTACGTTTTTTTACGGTTTTTGTTTACGTTTAGTTAGTTAGTTTAGTTAGTTTAGTTACGTGTAGTAGTAAATAAAGTAATATGTGTATAGTAGTGACATATATATATATATATATATATATATATATATACATATATATATATATATATATACATATATATATATAAATACTGTGTGTGTATTCGTACACAGAAATTGCCTTCTTGGTGAACAACAGAAATCAATTCCAGATCAATTTATCTAGTAGTATGAATGGCAGTCTGCACTTATACTCGGGCACACTATGTGATTGGTGAATGAAATGGAATGCATCAACAAATGTGTATTCTCTACATTATATGATATACTTGCATTTCATATGATTGAATGAAGAATGTTGCCGCATCGTACTGGAAGTGGAACGGTGAGCGTTTTTGATTGTACATGTCTACAATTTTATTTCACAATTATTTCGATATAGTTGGTTATTGTACGTCTTGGTGCACCCACTCTGGGCTGTGATCTATAGGACGGTCCAGTTCGGTAGCGATTGTAGTGAGTGTATTCTTGATTCGTCGTGGTTGTATATGGTCTTGGCTGTGGTGGTTGTATGTTACCGTGGCCTTTTATTCATGTATCCTGAGTAATTTCATTTTTGTTGAAGATGCACGACAACGAATAGTCGTTCCTTTATTACATGGATGTTTGATACAAAGTTTTGGTTTTTTCCTTCATTATTGCCTAATTTGGTACTATTTACATCGAAATTTGACCAGAGGAAAGTACACCATCAGTCGAAATACCGGTGATGATGGAAAAATTCACATAACTATAGTTTGAGCATTGCGCTGAGAACACAAATTCTGCAATTCTGAGGCATGTTCGACTGATTCACAACCACACAAGTATAGTAAATACCATTGCAAATTGCTCCTCAGAGAAAATCGTTATGAGACGTGCTTGACTACATATACAATCTCTGAATAAAACTTGTAGAACCCGAATTTTAGAATGAAGTGCATAGTAGCAAATTTTATTGATCAGTGTTTGGGGAGAGCGGGAACGGATGCGTTTCTGAACTAAACTGACATCTGACTGATAATCCGCATTGCGCGGTGTATTAAGACATTTCAATATCCAACCAATCGGTAGTCCGATAGCTCGTCCCAACACGCTCAGATAGTATCTCCACAGGGACATACTCAATATTCTCGATTGAAGGAACATAGGTTGCTCTCTAGCCTAACCAGGCTAGCTCAGGCGCGCTTGTATTGTATCATCCCCTTGCGTTTACTCGCCACTACCACTGGTTGGTTGACTAGTCATCATTGCTTCGATTCGATTCCTCAGAAGTTTTTGGTCTCTTCAAGCTCTGTCAGTACGCCATTTGTATCTTTGGGATGCATGAAGACCACCGGGTTTCCATGCGCACCGATTTTAGACTCTTTTGCTAGCAGGCGGATGCCATTCTCGGGTAATTCTTTGATAGCGTTGTCAATCTTGTCAGTCTGAGATGGTAGAGAATAAACGTACATAAGTGGATCAGGAACCATTGATTGATGTCAAAAATATTGCTGAATCTTTATCATCCACACTGAACAAATAGGCGTGAAATGAACAAAACGAGTTCGTTGCCACAGATATTTATAAACTTAAACTGGTTTCTCGACCCACGCACCTCGGGAAGAGGTAAATTAATTTAAAAGTGACGCGATCAGCAGGTAAATGGGCCAGACATGATCCTATATATCTCATCTATCCGACAATAAAGTACGTCAAGTTCGAGTACTACATACCTCGACACATATGTGGTGGATGCCTCCACTGGGATTCTTAGCCAAGAAATTCGCGATCGGACTCTTGTCTCCGTAAGGGTGGATGAGTTCTATCTTTGCGCCATCGCCAAGCACCACAAAGACTGTGTACACACCGTGCTCCGGTTGGGGCTAGATACGTATAATTTTCATGTGTTATTATGGCGATGTACGTTCACAGATACGGGAAAAAGAAATATGGATACGAAGAGGAAAGAGATGAAGTGTGTACAATAATGCGCATGATACATAGGAAGATAATCCCAGCCCATATATCTGTGAGAATATACGGATTGAAGGTGAAACACCTCGACAATGTGAAAGCGCAAAATGATTATAATACTATAACAATATATGGTCAATTTAGTATAGCCTGTCGGATAACTCTCACAGATTGTAATACAATTTTGGTTCAAAGCAATGAAAATTGACTTGAGCAGTATCGTAACAATTTCTTAAAGCTAAAAAGTAAAACCGAGGCAGCGAAGCTTGGAATATGTATACCTGACGTACGAATACATAACCTGTAACTACATACAACACACTTCTGTACAGCACGATATTATAGACTATGTGCAAGTATGAATAGTTTCTGCATTCAAGCGCTTACCACTGGTTCGCTCACGCTTTTAGCCCCCATCGTATCTCTCCAAAACTGTGATGCCTGCTCAAGATCGGGCACAGCTATAGCCACATGGTTCAGCTTCCCCGTTTGCCACGACTATAAAAAGAAAATTATACATGTATCAGTTGAACATTCAAAAGTAAGCATCGAGTAGCATGCCAACTACATGTAATTGATCAGACATGCATTAAAAAAAGAGGAGAGTAGCAGGAAAACGTACATTTGTGACTTATCATGCAATACATATTCTATTAGTCCACAATATTTATAAATGACGATACATGGATCGAAATTGCTATATACCAGTATATAAAACAACACGCACACAGACACAGACACAGACACAGACACACATATATATATATTTGACAAAATTTGTATACACACACACACACACATACATACATACACACACCCACACACCCACCCACACATACACCCACACACCCACATATATATATATGTACAAACAAACAAACAAACACACACACACACACACACACACACACATATATATATATACATATACATACACACATGCGCACACACACACACGCACACACACACACTCACACACATATGCATATATATATGCACACACACACACACACACACCCACACACACATATATATAATACTTGTAAATTTTGTGGGAACATCTAATATCTCACAAAAAAATATACTATATGCTTATGTTTAGAATATTTGTATATATCGAGACATGTAATCGTAGACAAATCCGAGAACTCAATTCTTCATATATAAATATGAGAGCACCAAGCAGTACCGGGACCGAACAGTATGTGCAGAATGCAAACCGAGCAGAAAAATGGAGTTGTTGCTATGTGCGTACATTCGCTACACTGTCAGTTTTATATTTTAAAATATAGTACGAGCGTAGAACGAACATGTAAAAACTAAAACACAGCTCAAAAATGTGTCATATTGATAGACCGGAGAGCAATCTGACCGTTCAGAGGCAGAAGTTCCACTATCGTCACTTTTACAAACCTCAACTCGATAAGATATTGAATGTAGAATTGTACATGATTCGGATTGTGTCAGCATAGCCATCGCACGTAATCGCCTAAGCTACAATTCTATAGGACTTGTGAAGGAAGAGAGTTTGCTATCGGGGGATACGGCTCATAGTGACATACAATACCCCCCCCCCCCACCTCCTCCCCTAGACAAGATACAGATAAATACTGCAGTTGATATCAAGAGGTATGCACGGTCATGTGACATGTTCGCATATTTATTGGCTCACATGCAAAGCAGAGCCATAGAATGGCTCAATTCATCCCACCAGACCACAATCAGACCACAAAATAGGTGCATCAATTTTACCTTGGCACTGGTTGACTGTAGTCGGACGGCATTCATTTGGTTTGGAGCACTGCAGGGAAGCGCCCTCGCTGAGCTAAAGATAGCACGTGTATGCGGTACCGCTAAGCTACGGAACATAGGTAACACCATTGTGGATTGAATATCAAAGAAGCTATGAATGTGCGTATGATCGCGCTAGTTTCTGACCAGTACATACATACTAAATACATTGAGCGCTTAATACTCGTGACTCATAGCCACTTTTGTGTACGGTAAATTACAAATATTTATAAAAAAATTGTCCTTCGTCCGGACAATAGTCCTATCAGGTACATTATTTTATTCTTCTCGTGTAAGAGGGTCATAATTTTTATTATTAATGTATTCATATGCCCAGAGGCCAGAGAGTTGTTCACATTGGCACATCCGGCTAAAAACTTAAAAAGCCAAAAATACGCCAATGTCGTCAATTCATTGGTGGATCACATATCAACTTTTGGCGGCGTATGTATGCTGTTTGTGTCTTTGTGATATTGACGAGTTTACAGTTTTTATGTCTATATATATTTATACCAACTTGTTGGGAATGGGAAGTCTGTCGAGTGGACGAGATTAGTACGATTGTTGAAGCCTACAGCCTGCAGGATACCTTAATAGTCATATTTCGGAATTCTATCTGGCAGCATTGGACTAACAAAATGAACGAATGCACATATTGTCATTCTCACATATACCTCGGATAGTTTTACTAATTGTGCGAGTTCCGTCATAGTACAGCAATGGTACGATGCAAGGTATGGAACAAGCTACATATTGCACCATAAATTACAGGTAAAATAACTACTTGCATCGGTTTGTTCACTCTCTGCGAGATTCTAACAGTGGTTTATGATTGATTCCATACATATTTTATAGCAATCGGACGAAGGCACCGATTATTAGCACAGCAATTTTGAGCGTGTTTCACAATATTGGAAGGAGCATCACCTTTCCTACGACAGTATGGAGTTATGAAATTTCAATTCTCGTTTGTACATGCCACCGTTTGTCTCTCGAATACAGTACGACGCTTAGTAGGGTTTGCTATGTCAGCGTCAATCTTCTTTGTTTTTTGGCCTCGGTTCAATGAGCTGACACATATTCTAAACATTACGTCTTGGCGGAAAAATACATTAGTACGGGCTTCAATTATACCTATGTATACCTTTTTATTTAATTCCTCCTTATCGATTCACAGAAACGTGACTCTTGCTATAATTTCCTCATAAGACAATACAACAAAATAAATGGAATTTGACTACTTTCAGAAATGATCTAATTCAATGTCCACTCATGATTTTAAGTGCAAGGGTTTATTTGCGTATGCATGATCCGCCCCTATAGGTGAAATACCGGTACTCCACCTGACAAAAAGATTCAAATTGATGATAGACACAAAAATTTCTGCATGTAAGAAGTTGTGTTTGTTAGTATTTGATATGTGTGAAGATCGCAATCTGATGCGTTGTATGCCACGATTGTTTCAAAATGGCAGATTATAATGTGTACGTCCCGAATTCGATGGCTATGTAGCAGTTGTTTCTGTGTGCTCCACTTCGATACTGAATCAATTATTTGTATACAGAGCGACGGTATAATAATACATAGTTGTCACTAATGTTTGAGGATTGTAGATACTTCTTCCCAGCAGAACAAGCACCCTAGTTGTATGGAGGTATATCAGTGATACGACTGCGTTTGTATGTCAGACCATTCTTGATGATCACACATACGGATATACTGTTCATTCGTTGTGGCCTCTGCGACCACAACACTAAGTTGACTTTTTGCCACTCGTGGGAGCCGTAACTGAATCGAGCATATCTCTACCCATCAACCATAGACACGCACAGGCGCTACCAATAAGTGCCCCCGCCACAATGCCCAATGTAGGAACGTCAAACTCTCTTAGTATATATCCACCCACTATGGGTGAGATAATGCCACACAATGATCGCACGGCATGCGACAGCGAGATAGCTGTCCCTGTCTGGTCTTGGTGTACACTCCCAGAGATTAGTGCCCCTAACACAGTGTATATAATGGTCGAGCTGATACTCGTAGGTGTCGTGAGCACTAGCACACTCACCAGATCGGTAGAGTATACGCAGATGCTGGGGATGCCTACCGCCAGCAGAAAAGAGGCAACAACCATGGTCTTAAAGTCACCTAGAGAACCAGACAAGGCACCTACAACCCCAACGTTGGCAACCACAGACAGCACACCCGCGTACGCCATTAACATGCCTAAGCTTTGCGAATCCATGTGTATCGAGTCTGTCATAATAAGGGAAAACATCGACGTGTACATGTTCATACCCAAGCCCACCAGGAACGAGAAGGTCACTAGCAAGAATACCTTTTGCACCCGCAGTACCTCTACAATTTCTGTTACATCCAAGGCACTCTTCTTAGGTTTGGCCTTACACTCCTCCGCCGCCGAATCAGCCTGACTGTCCGTGGTTGTACTGGTTGTTAACGATGGCAAGTATACATAGTTTGTCACAATCATTAACAATGACAACACACTCGCACTCAGGCAGGTCATGTGGTCACCGTAATTCTTCGAGATTGTACCCCCCACAGGTGAACCGAGTACCATTCCGATCGCATAACTAAGCGACAACCGGCCTAAAGCACTCGCACGGTTCTGCGGTAGTGTAATCTTGCTTACAACCGCCTGTGCACACAGCATCGCATGTTGGGCTATTGCGGGAACACGGGATAAGAACAGTATGGGAAGCGTGTAGGCACACGCCATGAGAGCGTACATGAGAAAACTTCCACCCTGACTGATGATTAAGCCTGTTTTGGGACCCGATGTATCCACTATTCTACCCACCAGCGGGCCACCAACCAATGCAAAGACGTTAATCACTGACGACAGTGTACCGAAGACCACACTATCCACCCCTAGGGCTTTGGTCAGACTAGGGAGTATAGGTTGTTGCATCCAGAAACAGCACGCGTACACAAATATGTTTGCGTGTACGTGTAAGAGCACTGTAGCATGCTCAGCGCGCGCGCGTTGTTCTGCTTCGCTTAGATCTGCAGGATCGGTGTACGTGCCAACAAAGCGCTCTGAAACGATCCTCCACTTAGCAGAGTGTGGTAATTCTTTTACAGCCCCACCCATGGTGTAATCGCTTAGAGCAAGTGAAGACTGTTTCTTGTTCTATGATAGATTCTTGCGCTATAAGACACTATAGTGGGGCGGATAAAGTTTTTGTAGTGTATATAAACTACAATTCTCATACATACCATACATACATATATTTATTGTTGTGATTGTTTTTTTAATAGGCGGTACGTGTCTATCGAGAAGGCTATGCGGTATGTTATTTACTGTGTATTGTATTGTGAATGCAAAAAGTCAAAAAGCCAAGAGAGGTTCACTATTTATTTAGAGGTTTCAATATTCAAAATTTCAAACTCGCTTTTTTCATTTTTTTTTTGAGGCTGTGTACGCAGTTTTTTTTTGGAAAACAGCTAAACCCTAAAACAAAGCAAATACGGCGTATATGGTCTTTCATCATGGTGTTGTGCAATATCCTGTCTGTCAACGGGTGTACTGTGTGCACAGGGTCACAGGCCCCACCTCTAAATAACAGGTTGGTGACAGAGTGCAGCGGTGTTGGAATATTTATTTAGCGGAAGACACCACACATTTAAAGCACAGGGGTGTGCTACTAAAGATTCATTTCCATTAGTAATCATGCCAGAAGCCGGCGAGAGCGTCTAATGGCGCATGAGGATTGGTTCTCGATACCAGTACCAAAGAATTGGGATGGTAAGAAGATGAGTAGCGACCTTCTTTCATTGTAGCGAGCAAATAAAAGCGTGCCGCCCTACCGGATCAACCTAAAAAATATACTTCAACCAGGGTATAACTATTCATACTGGCGATGGGCACGATCATTCAGATATTCCATAGGTATGCAGAACACGCCCAGTACTAAGAATTTGGCGCAGGTACACGATAGGCTTGGGTGGTCCTTCACTCAGTTATAGCCAGGCACAAGACAAGTCTAAGGGTACCTTCACTCGCACAGTGGTACCCGCAACTTGTATTCGGCCTTCCACCACGTATGCCACTGATATCTGTATTGTTTGATTTAACGGGTTGTGGTGTGTGCGACGATTAGATTGTGAAATACAACAGCCACTACTATTGTAATAAGAAAATTGACTATGAGCAGTTTCCAAATTCGCATATGGCACGTGATCTTTGAATGGAGAAGACCAGGGACACACTGTAAGATTTTGGTTGTGCAAAATATGTATTAATATCTCGTGAGCGCTACAATCTAATTACAGCTTGTTTGGCAAAAAAACTTGAGCTCTCATTGTTGAGCCACCTCCCACCTCCCGAATAAGTGGCCATAAACACAGAAAAGGTACACAAATCCCGATTTGTGGGCTCGAGAAAATGAATGAGCTATAAAAGTCGACTTGTAGGACGCATGTTCACACATTAAGTTGATTTAGGGAACACGTATTGTCAAAGTTGAGTGGAGACTACAAGTTATTAACAAAACTGCGTTCTTACAGCTCGCTACTCCGGATACGGGTTTTAGGGTTTACTAAAACCCTAAACCCTAAAAGAAACCAGTGGGCAAGTTAATACACACACACACACACACACACATAATCGTGCACAGTGTACAAAGTTATAACCGTATTGAGGAATTTTAGTACCTCGAGTATACCATTCACAAAACTGATATATATACCTGTGCGCTCGTGGAATTATATGTGAAGGAAGGACATATGTGTGGTTTCCTGGCGCGTTCCGTCACCTCTTTTTCCTTCTGCAGTTCTGCTTCGTCATCGACGGGCTCGAATATGATAGCTTTAGGGACCTGGGGTAGGGGTGTGTTTCCGGGGACATATAAGCTGACACCGGGGATGGGCCTGACTCCCGGAGAGGCGCCACGGTCCCCAGGGTCACTCCTACCATGATTGGGGAAATAGATCAGGGATGACAAATTGATAGTAGATCAGGGTAAGAAAAATTTGAGTGGAAACTACTTTGTGCGTAAAAGATCAAGGATGACGAATTTATAATAGATCAGAGATGCCAAATTTATAATAGAACAGGGATGACAAATTTATAATAAATCAGGAATGACAAATTTATAATAGATCAGGGATGTCAAATTTATAATAAATCAGGAATGACAAATTTATAATTGATCAGGGACGTCAAATTTATAATAAATCAGGAATGACAAATTTATAATAGATCAGGGGTGACAATTTATAATAGATCAGGGACGACAAATTTATAATAAATCAGGAATGATAAATTTATAATAGATCAGGGATGACAAATTATAATAGATCAGGGATGTCAAATTTATAATAAATCAGGGATGTTAAATTTTTTGAGTGGAAACTACTTTGTGCGTGCACGTCATGCGATGGAACAGTAGTCAATTATTTTATAGTTATATCATCATAATCGGATGTGCTAATCTGATGAATCACAAGGGCAAACACACTTGCACACGAGTGTCAATTATCTTATCGATCTCGTTGATGTCATGTATATTAAAAGCATACATACAAGTCCAAGATCTGATGGACAAGGAACACTTCAAGATTTGAAATATAAGAAGTTTAGATACCCAATGAAGCTTACACCTTAAAGAAAAAATTACTGAAGAGCATGCGTCAACAAAAAAGGCTACTATTTCACATCGTTTGTCTCATACCCAGATTGTTGCTGTGTTCTCCCGTCGGAAATGTACATTTGACTAAAATCACTAACCGCTTGATTATTCATAGTCGGTGGGGCACTTTGTGAGTCACCCATACTTGACCGTGAAGTAACCGTCTCTCTCCTCTCATCACTGACCTCCGCGCCAATCGCCACCTCCCTATCGGGAACTGCAGTATCAAGGTGAATAGTGACGGAACGTTCGCCCTGGGACGATCGTGCAGGCGAAGATGTATGCGACGCATGCGACGCTCGTGGTGATGTGGCGGGTGATAGCGCTCTGGGCGACGCCGAAAACGACGCCTTGCGCGACGTATTTGGGGACCGTGGAGGTGTAGATTTCGCTGGAGGAAACTTAGATGGCGACTGATTCAGCGAGTGTCGCGGTGAAATGCGCGGTGAAACGGGCGGCGACGTAATGGGAGACTCATAGGCGGAATTGGCCGGGTTCCTTATCTGGTACTTCTTCTGAGCGTAAGCCACACGGCTTACGGCTAAATTGTGGTTCTTGAAATCACTGGGCTGCGAGAGGACCACCGTCGTACATTCAATCTGCATTATCACACATGCACATGTGTATAGAGAGTGTTTGATGAATACCGACTGGCGAAATAAAGCTCGTAGTTTGAGAATAGCACACCTTTAGAAAATCAGTCGATCTGTATAAGTAACACAGGCGCAAAGTCGACACGCACTCACACACCAAAATAAACTTACTTGTTCTGCTGTGCTATTCAGAATACGCTCAGTTAACTGAAAGTCACTCTTGTACTTCTTGCCGTGAGATCCAGAGATGGTGTGCGGGGACGTGATGTGGAGGGTATTCGTCAACCCTTTTATTCCTCCCATTATTTTCTTAGTCGTTGACGACTTCCTGTTCAGGTGGTGCGCCAACTGCATCTGTCCAGCGCTGAGAGGTTTGGACTCATTCGGAGTCGGCGAGTTCGTTCCCGAGTTGCCCTATGTACAAGCACCAAGTGACAGGTAACAACAGGTGATAGATGGCAGGTGTCAGATGTCAGGTGTCAGATGTCAGATGCCAGACTCAGAGCATTGCGCATCAACGCGATTACTAATTGCTAAAATGGAAACTATCACCTCAGGTGGTATTCGCACTTATACAGCCAGTATTCAAAGCGTTTGCTATAAGTCCTGTCCTGTTATATGCAGCTGGAGCTCACATATGTAGTCCTTAAGTACTTATAAATACAGCAGTGGTTCTGCGTATGTCTATCGATCCTAATATAGCGGCAGCTTTGCTGTTGACATGTCACAATTTATTTGACTCGACTACGCACGAGACGGTATCAAACCGAGCAAATACCGAATCCTGCAATCCACATTTGCACTTCTATCTCACACGTATCTCTACGAAGCTATCATACCCGAAAATTATCGAGGCTACTAGCAGCAAAAGATCTTTACAAACATAACTAATGTGTCTATTTACGTGATGTGTTCGTAAATGTTTTCCAATAAATCAAGCTAGTACAAGGATCTTACCTGCCACTCTTCATCCATTCCAAGGTGTACGTGCGCCAATTGCGTAAACTTCAACTTGACACTCTGTTTGGGGAAAAAGAGGGTGTGGAGCGTCACCAACGGGAAGATATTATGTGCCTACGACGAATGCTAGTGGCATTGGTTTGAACGCGGCATAAAGGTACACAGTAGAAACTTAAGCGGCCAGAGACAGCGTAATGCAATGTATATACGCGTCATGTATTTGCTTGCATACATGCATTGAAGTACACCAGCTGCTGATATAACACTCACTCGAACTACTGGGTGTACCAAGTATACCCGTATAGTGTCTACGCGTACTATATACTTGCATCCATTTATCTATAAAAATGTGACGTGTTACTCGATGGACTAGAAGAAAGAATGCATGTACATTGTATTCACTTCAGTTGTAGTTAACAGTTCTTAAGCCCGCTACATAAGCACTAGAGCGTACACAACAGCTCCTATTGGTAAGACATTTTACGAAGGATATTTGTAACTATTGTTTGCATTTTCATTGATTTGAGTAGATTCTCTATGTCACACTCGAAATGTCGGTCAGTGGCCACACTAAATCAAGGAGAGCTAAACTCCTCTTCATTAGACTCCGACCGGCGCATCCGGACAGCTCAAAATCTCTTGTGTTGTACTTCAGACGTGACCCATGACATCAAAATATGAGGGCTGCTAGATTGTTGCGTCAGAACTAATCTGCTATGGATATATATCGGAGAAGTAAGGACATACCTCTATATTCTTACCCGTTTCATTCGTGATTTTTACTTGCACTTTCATGGATTTGAGTGGATTTTCTATATCAAACTCGAAAACTCGGTCAGTGGCCAAACTCAAGGAGAGCTGCTTACCCTTTAGTTCGGCTATGCTTTCACCGTCTGCAAACATTAATATACAGGAATAAGTGAACGCGCACAGATATCTTGAATAGGCATGACTTGAGGGCGTAATGCGAGCCGCCACATTACATACCATTTAAGACGACGTCTCCATCCTAAAACCACGAACATATCAAATCCTAGCCGTACGCAATACCAAGTCAAAGCTACAGTGTATGATGAGCGAGCATTCATGACAACATTTACATACCTATCAAGTTGTTTCTGGGAATGGGCCAAGACACGCCATTGTCAAAGCACATAGTCGCAATCAGCACATCGGTTTTCTCCACAAGCTCCCCCGGAGCGTCCGCCTCTTTCTTGGCAGTGATGACTACAGTCCATACAATGTGCAGCTCATCTTTGCCAGTGCCAATTCTATCGGAGGAAAAAGAGATTCCATTTGTTGTTTCGATGCTTTTTCAAGTCGGAATGCAAATTTTTGTCTATCTATAGCTATGCGTGCACCCACAAATTTTAACAAAATGAAATGTACAAACGTCTCACCTTAGCGTGGGAGGACCGGTGGGTACCAACTGGCTGAATTCAATAGTGTGCTTACCCGCGGGATACTTTTGTTCCGTATTCTCAACCGTCCCTCCGGCGAGAATCAGCTCTGTCTCCTGTGACCCGAATTCGCAACAGCATCGTATCCAACAGGATATAGAGTCGAAGCTTATGGCACGCCTTAAATCCAAATGCAGCCTGCCTATTGAAGAACGGATAAAACGTTTCCGGATGAAAATTTACGTTTCATATACTTGATTCACTTGGAGTCATGCAAAGTCACCATGGTCGCTTGCAAGGAAGCGATCGTCGACGCAGTATATATATATGAAAGTACATATATATATATTGAAAGTATAGTGATGACATGCGCGCAGTCCCCCATGTAACTATACGTTGGTGAGTATCGTATAAAACTCACATGTGTATGTAAACATGCCACGGCACACAAAAATCAACAAGAGCAAAATTTACAACATATTCAATCGAAACGTAAATTCTTGATATCCAATTCAACATACGAAATTACCTTGTACATATCAATAACAAAAGACTTACAACGAACAAAAGATCACAGGTATCAAGTATACAAGTATGCAAGAATACAAGTATACTAACAAATCGTACATAAGTATATAAAAATATATAGAACTATAAAATACAGAAATATAGAAATATAGGAATATAGATATATAGATATAAAAATAAAAATACATACATATATATAAATATAAATATATTTATACATATATATATACACATACATACATACATACATACACACAGACACAGACTCACACACACACACATATAAATATACAAAAACACAAACATAAGCATACACACACACCCAAAAATATATATACATATATGTATCCCAAACATATATATACATATATATATGTATAAATTTATATATATACATATACATATATATATATATATATATATTAATATATCCCTATATATATGAA